TCGAGCTGCGCTGCTCCAATCATGTGACACACATCATGTGACATACCTCATTCTCCACAATCATCTATTATACACACCCACCTTATTAGGCAGCCTATGTAAGCAGAGAGAAAGGCTCTCACGTGGCTGCCTTTTTGGAAGGTTTTAACAGTCTGCCTCGGACAGGACTGTCTGGATGTCGGAGGAGCTTGGGTAGGAAGAATGTCTCCCTGGCTGGGCAGGAAAGGTACAACTCTCCTCAGGGAGAAGGGAGAGAGAGAGAGAGAGAGAGCAGAGGGGCCAATTTGGTTTTCTTGGCCTGGTGACCTAATGGGTCTTGAGGCACAAAGTGACCAATAGTAGCCAGATGTTGGGTCCAGGGGCAGGTTTCACACCAAGGTGTGAAGAAGCCACCTGCCTCAAACAGTTGGGCTGAAAGGATAAAAATGGGTGTACAAATTGATTGATGACCATTGCACAGTCCTTTTCTTTCTTTTCAACAGGGCAGGATGTTGTTGCTTGAGGCACCTGTGTGGAAGTGAACAGGAAGAAGGTAAATGAACATGATAGTTCTATACTGCAATGACAATCCTGCTCTGGAGACACAGGCACAGCAACGCTAATGCTATAGTCAACATGCTCATCACTGATGTGAATTTCCAATATTTGGTAAAACACCAAATTACTGGACTAAGTCTAATTTTGACCTGCTGGTGGCACTACAAGAAAAGTCAGGCCGTGACCAAAGTCTGGAGATAATATAAATGTGTGTCATATAATTAGTGCCTAGATATTTTGTTGATGATGATGCTTCATTGTTTAAGTAAAAACTTTAATCTGCTGGTGAAAAGGCAGAAATCATCACAGTCCTAAGAATAACATGTCATGGTTCCTCCTCCAGTGGCATGTTTCCCAATGTGTTCCCTGTGTTTCCCCCTTCCTTGTGTCTCCTGTGGTTTCTCCCTGTTTTGTCTTTCTGTTGGTTTGTCCCGTGGGCGTGGCCTGGAGTCCAGAAGCTGGCTCACCTATACCTCATCATTCAATCACCCCTGCAGTATATCAACCCTGGCTCACCATCCACTCCTGTTGGCAGTCAGTTCGCTGGACTCCTACCACAGCAGTACCATTCTACCTCCCTCCTGCCTCACCCCCGGATTCATTCCCTCCATTCTCTGGACCCCCCCCCCCCCCCCCCCCGCCTGCTCCTCCTGCATTATCTCATGTGTATCATATCGTGTTTATTGTGAATAAACTTTGTTTATTCTTTAAAGACTGTCTGGTTCTGTTCTGGGGTCCGATCCCTCGTGGATCCTAACAAAAATCATAGTTGGGACCATGAATATCAGCTCTAGATTTCATGGGACTGAAACCTATAGATCTTTGCCAAACAGATAATACTATAATAGATATAGATTTACTGATCCCAGACTAATACACTACATATTGTGAAATGCACGTTACTAAATGTTTATCATAGAATAACACAAGCATATTTAACAGACTCCTGTCTTCCTCTCTCCTCCACTCTCCACTCCTGTCTTCCCCTCTTCTTCTCCTCTGGGCTCCGCTGAAACTAACACACACACACACACACACCCTGCTTTTTGAAAATGTTTGTATAGGCAATTTATTCATGTTATAGTTTTTAATCCATAATTATTTCAAGGGGAGGGGGGGCAAAGAGGGGGGCGCAGCCTTTGACAGGAGAAGCTTAAGGCCCTGCTTGTCCCCCCACCCCCCCGCCGCCGCTGCTAGTTGCACATTCGGAGCTTTCATGAATCCATGGATGCTGCAAGGCCTGCTTTGGTGTCATGCGCCATTTTGGATCATATCTAAATAATGAGAAAAATGCATGTTATGAAGAGATCCTTAATTTTGAAAAATTAACAAATTAATTCAGTTCTACACACACACACACACACATACATATATATATATATATATATTATTAATATGTGTGTGTGTGTGTGTGACCCTAACCTATATATTAAATATATATATAAATCTAACATATGTAAATAAAGCATGCTATATTTACATAATTTATGCTTAAAGCAACATTATGCAACTGTTTAACCTTAAAATAGCAACTTTAAAATTAGTTTGATGGTATTGACTTTGAACAGAGAGAATGGTGACACTTTGATTATCACTCTTCACCCGAACATCTGTTCTTACTCGATGTAATTTTGTTGATTGGGTACAATCTCCTGTGAGAAGTGTGTTAGTCGCAGTTTTAATTGTCAAAATCAGGACCAAGAAATGCTGACATGTAGATCAGTTAAAAAGACTTTAGAGTTTATCTCCAAAATTTAAGTGAGGAAACATTTAAACTATCAAGAATTCTAAACAGAGTTAGGTATATTGGCAGCTCTTTTGGTTCAGAAAGCCAGGAATAATACAGTTTTGTTTCAGTTCAATGAGTGTGACTACACAATCAGAGCTCTGGTCAAGAGATTGATAGGCGTTTGTTTTTTTTCTCCTCATGAAAACAACATAATTGCACAAATAAGTAGCCCAACATAATTCATAACCATGCATGGATGCAGACAACGCCTCTCATAGGTCCATACTTCTCATGAGTGTTTCTGAGAGAGTGTACTTACTCAAGGCAGCGCTCGATGAAATTGATGAAATTATTATTCCTAGTGGCCAGCTTTGTGGCCAGAGCGATTCTGCATTTTCTTATGTATGGGATACCATTAGAATCTGCATAACCAAACCAATTTGACAGGTGAGTTACAATGTCCTGCACTGCTGAGAACAGTATGTGTAAAACAAGAAGGTCAAAGTCTAAAATGTTTTTGCTCACCAAAGTAGTTTTTTCTTTTGGGGGCTCCGACTAGCAGCCCCATAGGAGGGAGACCCAGCACCTGCAGGAATTTACATTTAATTTACATTTAAACAGATGTAACAACAGTTACATCTATATTAAAAAATATGACGACAATTTGAATTTGATGAAGGCAGCATTATTTGATGATAAACATTACCTCCATTATCATTGCGAAGACACATGGATGGTCACATCCATTAAAAAGACGGACACCACAGTGAAGCTCTGCGATGATGCAGCCCAGGCTCCACATGTCCATTGGTGGCTCACACTTTTTGCCAAGGAGCAGCTCCGGAGGCATAAATGCCTTAGTGAACACACGAGGTCTATCTGTTTAGCGATAAAGACATTAAAAATGTGAGTGTTAATGTGTTCTGAATTGTCTTTGCTAGAATATTTGCAAGCAATGCCTGCAATTATTTTTTTAATCACGTGACTTTGTTAAAATGAAATCTTCCAGCTACCTTCTCTTGTCACATAGTAGCTCCCCCCAAAGTCAGCGACAGCTACATGCGTCTCACCATCCTTTTTGTAGATCAGCACGTTTTCCTGAAAAATAACATGTAGATACTATTAATTTATTATTTTATAATCATGGACATGGTCATGTAACAATGTTCTACGTGGTCATTTTAGTGAGGAAATGCAATGCAAAAATCATACACAAATATCTGATACATTTTAAAATACATATATAGCTTTGCTTTCCCCTAGTGGTCATAATATACCACAATGCTTTCTCCACAGGCTTTGACATTAAGACACAGGACATGCACCTTACTAATGTGTCTTATTTTCCCACAAACACAAACCCAAGCCATCAATCATTTTAAAGCTGCTATAATCATATAAATTCTACATGCACACGGTTAGGCCAGTAACTAAAAAAATATTGATCTAGTCAAGGAAACTTAATCTAGACTAATTTAAAGTGTAGCTAAAATAAAGTATTCTGAGGTGTTAGGCTTACCGGTTTAAGGTCACCATGGACGATATTCTTCTCTTTAAGCAGCTCTAGACATTTCAGGATTTCGATGGTGTATTTTTTCAGCTCTTTCTTTGTTACTCGACCCTTGTTGGTTTGTTGCAATGTATAAAGGTCCATACTGAAAATAATCACGAGAGGTTAGCTTTAATCTCAACAATCTGTTCTGCTATCCAGAATTCAGCCTAATAATAGTATTTCCCTGCTCCCCAGAGAACAATGAAAGCAAACATAATGTGTATTCATAACTTACAGAAAGTTATCAAAAGTGATGCACAGGTGACCGCGGAAGATGAATTTCTCTTTCATATGGACGATGTTGGCTGAGTTATCCTTGTCAAACCTTTGCAGGGCTTCTAGAATCCTCACTTCGGGCAATACAGCATTGTAAACGCTGAAAAATCATCACACCACAGTAAGTAATATGCGTAACTGCATGTAAAACAATCATTTGAAGTATAATAAACACCAGAAACATTTCTATAAGAGTGATATTATGGGTTTTTTGCTGGGAATGAGGAGCCATGCATACACACACTTGAGTACTGCAATACACATTTGTTCTTTTCCATAGTTTCACACTATTTAATTAATCAACAGATACTGGTGATAACGCACCCTGAAATTATACAATTTGACACCAAATGGCTTGGGGGGGAAAAAATTGAGTCTAATCAGGTACAAAGTCAGACACACACACTGCTACAGAGAGAAGGATACAACGCCACAGACCACAAGTGATGTGGCTGAAGTCAAGCAACAATGATGATGGGACAACAGTAAATAAGGACCTGAAAAACCTTTTGGATGTGTTTCATTGACCAGCAAAGACAGCTCTGGAAAGATCATGTGACCTTATGTACAACTACAGGATAGAAAGTTTTGTTTCAAAAGATGCAGGGAATTAAAAACAACAGCCCCTCCAAAAAGGCAACATGAAATAGAATGGCTTGTGGAGAAAAGGGCCTTGGAGAAACATTGGAGGAAGGCTTCACTGGAGCAGAGACAAGTATGCTATCAACCATTGACAGATATAAAAGATTGCATGGCAACACAGTTGAACGCAAAGCACCTCAATATGTTACACCAAAAACAAAGAAGAGGAAATATTTCTACGAGAATCACACCACTCAAGAAATCAAGGGAGTGCTGATTATTGTAAGGGAATAGTTCCAAGTCTGAGTGTGAAAAAATTTAGATAAAATTCCATCATCCACCTTATACTGAGCTGCAACCACATGAAGAACACAAGATGCACTTGAGAGCACTCAGAAAAAAACTCTTAAATGTGTTTCAGTGTGAAACACTTAATGTAAAACACTATTGTTAAAAGAAACATCCACAAGATTTTAATTAATGTCTCATTCTTATCACTGATGATTTTTATCATTATGCCTCAGTTTGTGAAAATCTCACCTCTTTTGGTTTCTAATGACCTTGATGGCCACAAGCTTATCAGTCTTGTGGTCCATGCATTTGAGGACCTGTCCAGAGAAGCCTTGCCCAAGCACCTCCAGGATTTGATAGCGGTAGGCCAAGTGGTCATTGATGACCTGTGGATTAAAAAGTAATAGCTTTATCAGAAGTTCATGTACATATATAAGCCAAAAATAAACCAATGATGATTAATATCTACTCCTATGAGTGAAGACTTAAGCACTTACTGCGATGTAGATTCCTTCCTTAGTGTCATAGCCATAGTTGAACTGTTCGGTTTGGGAGGCATCATCAACCTTTTTGACCTCCTCTCCCACATACCACACCTGTTTATAGTCCTGGATTTCTTTCTTCTCATATTTTGTCAGATATTGAATGAGATTTCCCAGAACATCTGCACATGGGGAAAACGTATCTCTTTTTTTTCTCACGTTCTCACAAGGAAATCAGAAAAGACTAAACTCGGTAGACATCCAAACAAACTATCCAAAAAGCTCTTACATTCAGAAGACATGACACCTGATTTTTTGACAGAGGATGTCTTGTCGCACTTCTGCTGGTCACTGAGCAGGGCAGATTGTTTTTGTCTTAAATCCCTATGGGTTTTCTGAGCACCCTCGGCTTGTGATGGTAGGACTGTAGGTCCAGTGTGGTAGACACTGTCTTTGGCATTAGACTTTGAGTTCAATACTGTCCCGTTGCCAATTATGAAGATACATTTCTGTGAACAAAAACATAGGGAATGTGTGTAACACTTCCACAATAGTGGAGAAAGAGTAGAAACATACAGTGACATAGAAATACAAATAAAATATGAATTTCCTGATAAAAAAAATGCGGTGTGAATGCTGAACTGCTGAATCAAGTTGGAAATATATGACGGAAAGAAGTAAAACTTTTATGTGTCAAATTTTGGAAATTATGTTATGTTGGACAATTAACAGCTTTGCTTCCTCCACTAGTCAAAATGTANATACGCCACACATGTATCTCATTTTCCCAAAAAACACAAACCCATGCCATAAGAATAATTTAAAAGACGCTTTAATCATATAGAAATTCTATATATATGGCATATGGTTATCATTAATTTCAAATATTATTGTACTGGTCAAGAAAACTTTATCTAGAATAATTTGAAGTGTGGTTAAAATAACTGCAGAATCTTCTGAGGTGTTAGGCCTACCAGTTTTTGGTCATGCAGGACAATCTTCTCTCTATGCAGCTCTAGACATTTCAGAATGTCCATGGTGTATTTTTTCATCATTTCTTCTGTGAGTTGATTTTTGTTGGTGTAGCTTGATTCATAATGGTCCTCGCTGAAAATGAATGTGAGAGGTTAGCTTTAATCTCAACAATCGAATTGCTATTCAGGATTCTGCCTATAATATATAAATATTTTTCCTGCTAAGAGAACACTGAAATCAAACAGAATGTGTATTCTGAACTTACAGAAATAGATCAAAAGTGATGCATAGGTGACTGCGGAAGTAGAATTTCTCCTTCATATGGACGTTGTTTGCTGAGTTATTCCTGTTAAACTGTTGCACAGCTTTCAAAATGTCAGTTTCGGGCATTGCCACCTCATGAACACTGAAAAAACATTAGACGACATTAAGTACATTCTTATAAGTATGATTTTTATCCTCATGGCTTGGTCCGTGAAAATCTTACCCGTCCTTGTTTCTAATGACCTTGATGACCACAAGCCGCTTGGGCTTGTGGTCCATGCATTTGAGGACCTGTCCAGAGAAGCATTGCCCAAGCACTTCCAAGATTTGATAGCGGTAGGCCAAGTGGTCATTGATGACCTGTGGATTAAAAGGTTTAAAGCTTTATCAAAATTAAATTTATATCTCGGCGGAAAAAATAAATCAATAATGATTTATATATACTTCTTTTGGATGATAGGGATGATATTGGATGTCAATCATTGTAAAACAACAATTTTGATTCTAAAGCTCTCTGTAGAGTAAAGACTTAAGCACTTACCACTCTGTAGATTCCTTTCTTAGTGTCATAGCCAGAGTTGAACTGATGGGTTCGGGGATCAATCTTTGTGGCCTGCTTTCCTATGTGCCACACCTGTTGGTAATCCAGGATTTCTTTCTGCTCATATTTTGTCAGGTGTTTCTTGAAATTCCTCATAACATCTGCACATAGGGAGAACATATGTTTTTTCTTGTTTTCTAACAGAAAATACCATAATCTCAGTATTTAATAAAAAATAAACAAATAATCCCAAAAGCTCTTACAATCAGGAGACATGGATGACCTTATCTCAGAGGATGGCTGTATTTTCTGCAAGTAAGTGATGGTTGGTTTCATAAAGGTATGTACATTGACCACCTGTGGATGTCTCTTCTCCTTCTTCTTGGTTTTCTTATTGTCCATGCTAGGACATAACGTTGAGTTCAATAGTTGCTTGGTTGCATTTTAACAAAAAGTTGTGTGAGTAGAAGCATTTACATACTGAAAGTATGCCAAAATGTGATGAATGCTGACCTGTCTTGATTTATAGATCTTTGTTATTCTTGAAAGGATCAAAGGAATGTGATGTGGTACGACTAAGGTCATACAAATGTCCTTTACGTATTTTCTTTAATCTACTGTGCCTTTGTTGTGGATCTCTCACCTTCCTGATTGAATTATTGTGTAGGTTTGTTTCCAGGGAGCTGATTGGTTCCAGCCTCCAAGTTTGCAGGTTTGCAAGTTTGAGGCCGGCTTCCCCCAGCTCCTATGGTCTCTCCTCCTGCAACTGCCAGCCAGAATAATACTTGTGTTGATGTGTTAAGATCTGTTACTTGATGTACCAGCCCTGTTTGATAGGGGTGGGTAGCATTTTTGTTTAACCCTTGTTTTCTCTTGTTTTTGGATTAGGATTTAGGTTAGTAACTTGTCTTTTTGTGTCTTTAATTTAAGAAGGTAAGGTTGCTCACATATAGGTTATTTTTGTTTGTTGTTTTGGTGTTGACCCACAAAGCAAATGAAGCAATACAAATTAAATATGCCTTTTAACAGGCTGCAATCATTTGTTTCTGGTGGTTCTTGGGAGCTAAGAAGAGGGGGGACTCATTCATCATGTTGCGGTCAGGTTTTTACCTGGGCCGGGTCGTAACAGATGTCACAAATGCATGTCCTCAGGTCCTTGCATCATATCACCATTCTAGAAGCCTTCTTCTTTGTTCAGCATATTGGCGAGTGGAAACCCACATCAAGGTGCATTACCACCATCTACTGTGTCTTCCTCTTCCTCTCTGCCCAGCCCACTCCAGGAGTTCCCACTCTAGAAGCCTACAATAAGACTACAATTAGTCTATTTATAAATCACTTTGAAGTTGGTTGCCCCCAATTGACTGAAAAAAGAAGAAGCAATTTTCTTTTCTTTTTGGGGGGGGGGGGGTAATCCAATTCAAATTCAAAAGACTTTATTGTAATTGCACGGTCGTACTTCGTACACTAGCTGGAAAAAAAGTTGTGTACAAACAAATATGTCTCTCATTAGCTGAACGTTTTGATGTTGGAATTAGGACTGGGCTTTAAACACTTTTCTCATTAAAATCGCACTTCAATTGAATGAAAAAAGCTAGATGATCTTCTGTCTGGGAGCGAGGCAGTTTACACTCACTTGACTGTATTGAAGTTCCACAGTTGTATTCATTATGTGTTCGGTTCTATTTAGAGCTTATATATGACACAAGTGAATTGCCATATATTGTAAAGTGTATATTTAAACAAAAAAAGACTCTGCTCACTGACACCCCACGGGAAGTAGAGAGTGTCCGGCTTGTCTTTCTGTGCTCCATGATTCTACTTTGTCTCTATGTGTCTTTATTTAAGAACCAGTCCATCCGTCCTGAGCTGCGTCAAGTCAAACAGCGACACGCAGGAAACTAGAGTTGTCAAGTTCTCCTTCAAAATAAGACGTTTGCTCCTGTGCCTCTGACGACGATGCCTTCGCTATGGGTTACATTTAATTTAATTTAATATAATATACTACAATTCAAAGTCTTATGTTAGTGTATTATGGAAGGGTTGTGTAATGATGCCTTTGTGAATTTCATACACTGTGGATTTACACGGTGAATGTCCCAACAGGAAGTTGCGTTGGCTTCACATTTCCTTCGTCGGACACACGCTCCATTCACCGTCGCGTCTGTATTCGCCAGACTCCGGGGACTGACGCCGCGTGTCTGAGGTGGCGTTGAGGCAAACATGTCAGGTTCCATTTCCCCGCCGGCCTCGTCGGAGGTTGTTGGGTCTGATGGCTGTTTCCCCCCGGGATACAAGCCTTTCAAACCCGAGGAGCACGGCCTGGAGCGCGGGTTCCGTCTCACAGCCTTCTCGGACCTGAAGGGATGAGGCTGCAAGGTCCCGCAGGAGGCTCTGCTCAAACTCCTGGCGGGACTGGAGCCGGACCGGGCTGACCAGACGCGGAAGGCCGAGGACCAAGCATCGGAGTTCGTCCAACAGTTGCCCGGCCCCCGGCTCGGTGAGGATCGAATTCGTAGTTAGCAGAGCTCGCTACCCCGCACAGCCTGTCAGAGCCGCTGGTTCGCGTCAATTAGCTAGCGGGACCGCAGCTAACCCTGCTAGCTTACGTTAACTAATTGCGGCTCACTTGACAGCTATGGGGTCATATAACCAGTCCTTTAATTACCCACACTTATTAGACACGTGTATACTTAAACTAAATACACTGTGGCTAAGCTACTTCCTAAATGGTAATGACAAATAAAAGCGAGCACGAGAAGAGGACACGAGTCCTGTGAGTCGTCGAGTTACTAATGTGTAAGCATGATTCAGCAGAACTAATTCATGACAGTAGAGTTGGTAAATGGAGTTCAAAGGTCATGTTCGTGATCCAGCACTTCTAGGAAATGAGTGTGACAAGCCTGAGTGAACACACTGACAACACACTGCGCAATCCCTCCTCTGGTGCTTATAGTATTTTTTATATTTCATTTTTGTTTCCTATTATTATTTTTTTAATTTATACTTGCCACAAATGTACTACAGCATATTCCTTGTATCTGTAAACCCGATTCTGATGGTGCGCTTAGATCCAAGTCTTTACAGGTGAAGAGTAAGTACCCCCTACCCTTCACACAATGCAGTCCCTGAAATCTGTCCTGTAATCAATACTACCTTTAGTAAACAACACACATACAGCTCAAGTACTACAGAAGAAGTATTCTCACTCTTCACACTTGACATAAATAGTTATGCGAGGCTGTTGCATCGTCATCACTTGTCTCCCTCCTCCTCACTGTGGTGTGTTTGCAGGTGTAGGGATGGACTGCTGTGTGATTCCCCTGAGACATGGAGGACTCTCACTAGTCCAGACCACAGACTTTTTCTACCCTCTGGTGGAGGATCCCTACATGATGGTGAGTCACTGGCTGGTGTTTCCCTGCATTAGCCCCTCGTGTGTCTCTATGAGGATTTGGGAGGCAACACCGGGCTGCTGCTCTTTAGCGCTATCACCTGTTAGATATATACTAAACACAAAAACAGGGAAGCTTGCACAATTACTACAGGAAAAAATATCAGCCCACTCATAAGCTTGTGAAAAACTAATTCAGATCGGAATGTGTCACAAACGAACCTTGACTAGACACTCACTGCATTACTGATTCATTTGAAACCAAGCAACAGACGGCCTCACAGTTAGACTTTGGCATGTGCATTTAAAAATCACCTTTAGTGTGAATGTGTATATGATCATGAGAATGCATGTTTACTATTCATTATGTAACATTGTACTTGGTTACTCAGGGTTCTGCACTGCTTTCCCAACAAGCGTGTGTACTCTTAAATGAAATAATTAGGTGCAATGACAATTTTTTACATACATATTTATGCTGTGTGTGTGTGTGTGGGTGTGTGGGCATGTGCGTAAGTTTAAATCAAAGGTTATGTTGTGTGTGTGCAGCTCTTCACATTTTGTCTCAATGCTGGTACCATTATTAGATAAGCAGTGCACCTGATAATAGTAGAAAGGAAAAGATGGTATATAATTCAGGAGGTGAGACAGAAAGATTGGGTTCCAACCTGACTCAAAATTGAAAATTTGTCAGATACAGAAACGGTGACAAAACTCTTGACCATTTTTTGCTCTCTGTCTCTCTCCCTTTCTCTCTCCGTCTCTTTTTTTTTGTCTCTCAGGGCAGGATAGCTTGTGCTAACGTCCTCAGTGATCTCTACGCCATGGGTATTACAGAATGTGACAACATGCTGATGCTGCTGAGCGTCAGCCAGAAGATGAATGACAAGGTAGTGTGTTCAAGGCCGAACGCCAAAAATCTTTTCATTCTTTTTTTGCCACTCTTGTTTATCCTCTATTAATGTCACAGGTACATATGTTGATGTCTCTCAGATCTCTTGTCATGATTCAATGCAGTCTGTATGTACGTGTATCACACAGGATCGTGAGCGAGTCATGCCGCTGATGATTCAAGGGTTTCGTGATGCAGCAGAGGAGGGGGGTACTTCTGTGACAGGTGGCCAGACTGTAATCAACCCCTGGATCATTGTAGGAGGAGTAGCATCAGTCGTCTGCCAGCCGAACGAGTTCATCATGTGAGTCATACACATATGGTGTGGATTAAATAATCCCTTTTTCAATGATCTGAGTTTGTTTATGTTTTTTTTCATTTAAGTTTAAAATAAAAAAATGTGTTGTCTCATGTAGTCCAACTTCAGTCTTTGTCTTCCCTGAATGCATTTTATAAGCCCCTAACAGAATCTAGTTGATCATTCATTTCAGCCAGCACATAGAAGTTACAGTGTCCACTAGGGCTCCAGCAACTAAACGATTTAATCGATTATAAAAATTGGCAACTAATTTAGTAATCGATTTGTCAGGTTTGTTATAATGCACGGTACACACATCTCCTGAGGCTAGGGCTGTAAACCAACCAATCCCGTGCTTTGTTCAGCTCACGTGAAAACACGTCTCCTCTCAGGAGTTAACATTTAAAAAATGGCGGAGCCAAGATGCAGCAGAGACAAGTTGTCAAAACTGTGAAATCATTTTCATTATAACCTTCAGAGACGGTTAGCTGCAAACTTTGTAAAGGTGACTTCACATGGAACAGCAGCACATCACGGCTGTATGAACCTGAAGAGAAAACAGGAAGGAGCCATTCTTCTTCTTCTCCTCTTGATTTACTAGAAGGTCGTAAACAACTATTAGGGTAATTTAAGATACTTTAAATAAAGTTTGGACTTCTGAGAATGTAGATATTATTGCATTGTACAAGAAAATGAAGTTGTTTTTTCAAATAAACAGCTGGAAAGTGGAAAATGTAGCTTTTGTCTAATAATACCAAAAATATACTAACTTGCATATTGATAATCATTTGCATATGGACTTTTTTTTTAAACAAGTTTTGTCACAATGCAAATGTTTCCCGTTTGTTTTTTTTCCAGGCCAGATGGTGCAGTACCAGGGGACGTCTTGGTCCTTACTA